GTGTGTGTGTGTGTGTGTGTGTGTGTGTGTGTGTGTGTGTGTGTGTGTGTGTGTGCGCGCGCGTTTAAGAATAGTACAAATTTTGATAAGTTTATATTGCAGAACTATTAAAAAAAACGCTTTCTAATATTTTTTAGTATTTGCCATTATTGCTGGATTTGTTTATACTATCGGCCAGCATTTGTCAAGTAGTTCCATTGTTTTACCGAAAAATATATCTCGTCTGCCTATTATGATGGAGTATTTTATTGATCAAGAAAAATACTTTTATTTAATTTTGATTCATATCTACACAATTATATATGTCGGAGCAGCTGCAATATTAGCAATAGGAACAATGCTTATTACATATTTTCAGCATGTCTGTGGAATGTTCAAAATTGCTGGGTATGAATGAAGATGTAGGAATAACCATAATAATTTGAACTGTGATCAAAATTTATCTTTTAACAACATAATATATTTAAATTAGTTTATGAAAGATGTGCTTTTAGCTGAAAAAATGTCATTCAATGAAATGCTGTGTAATTACGACACAAATATTTACAGCTATCGTATGGAGCATGCAATAAATATAAATATTCGACAAAATATTACGCTGAGAAATATGATTTTGATGAGCGAGGGAATAATTTGTGCCGTCAATATTCACCGACAAGCTATGAAGTTGGTATACACGCCCCCAATATACAAGTAGTATGTTTATTATTACTATATAAGTAACATATTTCTGTTTTTGAAGATTGTCCAAACATTTGATGTCTATATTTGAAGTAATGATGTTTTGTATACTAGTATTTGGCGTGTTTTGCTTAACTCTAAATTTGTTTCGAGTAAGTTTTCTGCTTTGTATTGTAATATATGGAAATGCATGGAAATTCTGCTACGAAATTATGAGTATTAACAATACTGTTCAATAAGTAGATAAGCCTATAATATGCCAGAGTTATAAATAACAATTATTATTACATAAATAATAATTATAATTATATAAATTTTATAAGAAGTAACGAATGTAATATATCGCGGAAATAAAAATAATAAACAGAGAAGATTAGAAAATTCAGTAATGTTGAAGATATATGATATTAACATAAATTTACCAATATTTTTAGAACTTAACGAGCAGTATTGCTGATCTGTATATTCTTTATATGATTTTCGTATTTATACTCGAAGAAGAACATACGTCTTTATTCTTTTTGGTTAATATATATTATACTGTAAAGAATTTTTTCGATGTTATATAAATTTATCATTATTCTTAAACTAATAGTAGAAATATATACAGGGTCTTCAAAAAGTCTGGAAACGGTCGAATATCTCGAAAATGAAGTATTTTTGAGAAAAATGTTTCAGACAAAAATTGTAAGATTTAAAATGATGTATTTACTGATCTAATCAGTTTGACCTTGAGTGGCGTCGCCAAGGCCAGATCAAGGTCACGTCGATTTTTTTAAATGGAACCCCCTATTTTTCATTACATTTTCTTGTAGCTTACATCGAGAGCTTTTCAAAACACTATAATAAAATATTTTTTCATTAAGTATTTTTCGAGTTATAAGGCTCGAAAGTTATAGTACAGTCGGCATTAGCATTACGCAAGTTGTCCGACCGACGGCTAAAACCTCTTGAATGTTGTTCAGGATCATGTCCTGGATAACATTTGTCAAGATCAAGGCCATTGGAGATTATTCCTCTTATTTTCATTTTCTAGTAAAAATGAATTTTTAGTGTAAGAATGAAAATAAGAGGAATAATCTCCAATGGCCTTGATCTTGACAAATGTTATCCAGGACATGATCCTGAACAACATTCAAGAGGTTTTAGCCGTCGGTCGGACAACTTGCGTAATGCTAATGCCGACTGTACTATAACTTTCGAGCCTTATAACTCGAAAAATACTTAATGAAAAAATATTTTATTATAGTGTTTTGAAAAGCTCTCGATGTAAGCTACAAGAAAATGTAATGAAAAATAGGGGGTCCCATTTAAAAAAATCGAAGTGACCTTGATCTGGCCTTGGCGACGCCACCCAAGATCAAACTGATTAGATCAGTAAATACACCATTTTAAACCTTACAATTTTTGTCTGAAACATTTTTTCAAAAATGCTTCATTTTCGAAATATTCAATCGTTTCCGGACTTTTTGAAGACCCTGTATGTACATACATGTACACATATTCCGAAGATTTATAATCTCCTTTGTACTTTAGATGTTTCAGATTGCTTCATCTGAAAATACTGTTAGCGAATTTTGTTTGCCGTTAATATATATGGTTGTCAGTTTTTTATATATGTTTCTATCCAACTACATCGGACAGAATATAATAGATCACAATAATTACGTATTCTCCACTATGTAAGAAACATTTTATGATGAGTATACGAATATTTGTGGGGAAAGAATGATTTTGCTAAAATTCAGATAGCTAAATGCAATAAGTTTGTTGTCATGTTGTTGACATTTGTTGAAATTTCGACACTCGGGACAACGTGATCGAGACAGCATTATATATATTTGTCGCGAACTTATGTAAATTCGAATTTAATACCAACAGTAAATGGATGAAAACATCAATTTGCTATTTATAGAAGAGATGATTGGTGATAGCAACTTTACTGTAACTAGTTGTCAATTTATCATTTGTAATTCGCAGCAAAAGGGTTCCTTCTGTGTGCCTTTTAAGAATTGTTAAGTCAGATGTAAAAATTAATGCAGTTACAGAACAAATTAGCATAGTTGAAAATAACTCATAAGAAAGTTTCTTACGTCAATTAGCAATTTGTCATCTATGTACAATTTTATAGGTACAACGTTCAGTGGTATAGTGCTCCATTATATATACAAAGAATGATACTGTTTCTATTGCAAAGAGAAGTTAAGGACTTTACTCTGAATGTCGGTGGATTATTTAATGCATCTATGGAGTGTTTCGCCACGGTAATATAATATCAACAACAATATATGGGTGCCTTCCAACTAGAGACACACATGGTGTGACACGGTGTATTATTACATCTTTGTTGTTCGCCAATGTTAAACAAGGACGAGATAATCTATGTTGTACTGAGTCGCTTGTTGAAAGGCACCCTATATCTATTATATTACAAATAAATATTGTAGAAAGAGATATCTTTAATTGCAGTTAGTAAAGACTTCGGTATCTTACTTTACTGTCATATATTCCACGCGGTGACAAAATAAATATGAATTTAATAATAGAATGATAAGAACATAGTTAATGAAAAAACGAAAGTACTCATATTTAAAAAAAATGATATTATGTGTGAGCTAGAGTAGTTAGCTAGAGATTTTGTTAAGAAAAGTGTAGAGAATAAATTAAAATTGTTCAAATAAAGATGTCAGTACATTACATCGTCGCAATGTATTCAAATTACGTTTTGTATGTATTATTTATACTTCAAACAATCACATTGTTTTAATTATTATAAAAGAAAGACGTTATAAAATATTTAATCGAAAAAATTAAAGTGCAACAAATTAACAGTCGTGAAACTCGTATTTCAGATTTTTTAGATTATATTGACGTAGAAAGCGCTACTAAAGAAATTTTATTGCCTGTGCTGTTTTTATTCTACCTGTTCATATATCGAATTCTCAGAGATAAATTATGACAGATTACAATATATTTGCTACAGTGTGAGGGATTTTCTCACGCAACAATAACAAAGATCACTTTATAAATTTTTATAAACAAATATTTTCTTTGTTTCTAAAAGTAAAGTTCTCATTGCAAAACGAAACAAATATTTAATATTATTGTATTGTACGATCAACGTAAAATAATGAAAATTATTTATAAATTTTCTAATTTTTCTCTTAAATTATCGATTCTTGTCTTAATAATTTATGTAGGTATAGAGTTGAATCGTATGTATGTTCCTTGTACATTCAGAGAATGATACTCTTCCTGTGAATAAAAAACGCCAAAAAATTCCATCTGAATGTCGGTGATTATTTATTCCATCATTAGAGTGCTTTGTCATGGTAAGATCATGTACCTAGTGTTTTCTTGAATATACTATAATATATTAAAAATAAATGCAATAATATGCAGTTGGTAAAAGCTTCAGTATCTTATTTTATTACCACATCTACAGAGTGACAAGACAAATATAAATCAAATAAGAGTATGAGAAAATATATATTCGTTGAAAATAAAACAGCATGTCTCACATTTAAAAAAAAAGAAAATTCTATTTTTCATTACGCATATATTTTTGCTTAAATTATTTTATTATCAAAAATGTAAAATCAAAAGGATTCACCAACATAAGATTAAATCTCGGTTCTTCAATTTAGTCTTTATCTTTTTCTAATTTGAAGTATTAGAAAAAGATAAACAGTAAGTTAAACTGAGATTATAATTAATCTTACATTGGTGAAACCGGATTCAAAACGTCTGTAAACATATTGTGAATAAATCTGTACATATCATGCAAATATAAACAATAGATTCAGTTAATTTGTTGTAGAATGTATTATAATAATATTTAATAGATAATGTTAATAATATTCTAACAATATTCTACAAAATATAAAGCATTATGTTGGAAAATGTTATTGGTTCAATTACCATGTTTTAAATTATAAATGTATTAATTACGGTCGATGCCGAAGAAAAAGTATGGCGGATATTCATCTCAAAAGATCAAACGTGTCATGTGAGAGTTTATACAGAAATGAAGTTATCATCAAAGAAGCGAAGGATATGCGCTTGCGTGACTTCTGCTCTTTGATAAATGTCTTTCTTTTTTTTAGTAAAAGAAGATATTCATTCGAAATTATCCTGATGTCGGAGTGATGCCTTAATAGGCATTGCGAAAAATATTACTAAAATATGAATGAGTTTGTGTTCTCACAATGGATATTTTGCATATTCTTGTACTATACAAATTATGGCATTTATACTAAAAATTTGTACTGTAAGAGAGAGTATCTACATAATCGATGGAAAAGGAGAAGGGATAATCATATGAGTCGTACTTCGTAACCAGTCGTATCCCGGACATCGCAGAGAATGATTCAGCCAGAGATTCAATATTTTAGCTTCAATAGAATTCTGTTGCTCGTTATCGGCTTGTGGCCCTATCAGCAATCTAAATTCACACAATTTCAGTTTATTCTCATTTCTACTATTTTGACAACAGGTATTGTATTTCAGGTAAGAACAGAGTATAATAGCAATAGTGTGTGATAAGTTACCATTTTGCAAATCTTCATTATCAAGTAATCTATCTCATTATTATGTAATATAAATATTATATAAATTTATAATTGTTTATAAAAACATGTAATTAAAAACAAAATTACTACTGATAGTTGACAATTCTAACGACACCAAAATGTACTCTAAATCTCGTCAGCAAGGTCCTGTCTTCCACGTCCTTCTTTATTTTTTGCATAATAAATTACAACTCATTCTGTTGTAACATCAAAGCTGTAAGTTGGAAAATTAGAGTAAAAAAAATACTAGATATGGATTAGGCACTAGTTCTGGATCACTTTTTATATTTAAATAATTATAGTATTTTTCATTAAATGGTATATATCACAAGATTCTTTAACATTTGTTTTATCACTTTCAAGTGTCAATTGAATTTAATTTATTAGGAACAGCGCTAAACATTTTTTTAATATCATTAACTAATGTGTTAATTGAATGTGCGAAGTTAACTAACGTATGTATCTTTAAAAATTCATTCAAAGTGTAATATCATAAGAATTGCCTTATGGCTTTTGCAGCAGAGAGTAAATAGCACTAAATCTGAAATAATTGGGAAAAATCAGGGTTATGCGCAGTTGACAATAAATGTGTCCGCGGGAGTTTAAACACTATGTTTAATCCCTATGTTGTAACGATACTTTTATTGCGTAAATTTATTAGAAAAATGTTTAAAAACTTATCAAATCTTACAAATGATGCCATACCGAAAAGATTTATTTGTTTCAAATATCAAAATAGAATATAAAATAGTATACACGTCTATATGCAAAAAGTATTCCTATCCAAATAATTTAACTGTTTTTTATTGTTAAACGTATAGTTAATATTGTTTAATTATCATTGATTTTTAACTGTCACTAATTTTAAATAAATTTGAATATGTTAAAATTGCATCATGATCCACAATTTGATCCTAGAACTAGAAATTAATCATCAATTAAAATTTCGTTATATATATTACAATAAGCATGTGTAAATCATGTCTTACGGGATTTAAGAACGTCATCAGAAAGAATAAAGTATATGATGAATTGAACCGCAATTAGTCACACGGGGTCTAATTGTGGATAATTGTCATTATCCATTTAGTTAATTCACAAAGAAACATAAAGCGGTAATGAAATAAAGTAAAATCATCCATAATGTAATCTTTATGATCAATCATAACTATTAAATATTCTATTAACTGTTTGTTCTAGATAAAAATATAATTTTTTTTAAAGGTGATCCGTAACTAGTGAATTTATCAATTATTAAATATTCTATTAACTGTTTGTTCTAGATAAAAATATAATTTTTTTTAAAGAGTGATCCGTAACTAGTGGATTTATCATACAGAATATGCGTTTGATACCATAACCATCCATATCAAATGAATTTTTATATATTAAAAAATTATTAAATATTATTATATACAAATACAATATATGAAATTATTGGAATAACAGGTAAAGGATTTATTAATGCAACTTGAGCATATATATAATCAAGTAAAAGATAAAAACGAAGTTGCTATCGTAAAAGAATATAATTACACTGCAAGACGCTACACAATTATGCTTACAAGTAAAATAATCTTCTCAGATTTATTCTCACAATTATTATTTAACTGTGAACTACGAAGTTAAACCGAGTTTTGTAGAATCATGTTAAATAATAATTCTGCAGATTTTAATGTATTTATAATTTATGTACGTGCGTGCACTAAATCTTGATAATCTTATATTGCACAATATTTTTAATAAAAACGTTTTTTAATATTTTTTAGTATTTGCCATTATTGCTGGATTTGTTTGTATTATCAGCCAGCATTTGTCAAGTAGTTCCATTGTTTTATCGAAAAATATATCACATGGATTCCACTATAGTATTTGTCACTATAATGCCAATATATGTGTTTAAAATGATTAATAAGTGTTAGTAGGTAATTTGTGCAATAACATATTGTACAAATTGCATAAATAATATATACAGTAATTCTAAACAGAAATTAAATATATTAATGAAATAGTATACAACTTTATAATTTATGTACGTGCGTGCACTAAATCTTGATAATCTTATATTGCACAATATTTTTAATAAAAACGTTTTTTAATATTTTTTAGTATTTGCCATTATTGCTGGATTTGTTTGTATTATCAGCCAGCATTTGTCAAGTAGTTCCATTGTTTTATCGAAAAATATATCTCGTCTGCCTATTATGATGGAGTATTTTATCGATCAAGAAAAATACTTTTATTTAATTTTGTTGCACATCTACGCAATTATATATATCGGAGGAATTACGATGTTAGCAGTAGGAACATTGTTTCTTACGTATTTTCAGTATGTCTGTGGAATGTTCAAAATTGCTGGGTACGAATGAAGACGTAAAAATAACCGTAATAATTTGAACTGTGATTAAAATTAATCTTTTAACAACATAATATATTTAAATATCATAATATATTAAAAAGGTTATAAAATTATGTATTTTTAGCTGAAAAATCGTCATTTAATAAATTGCTGTATAATTACACTGTTGCATAATGACATAAACATTTACAGCTATCGTATCGAGCACGCAATAAACATGAATATTCAACAAAATATTACGCCGAAGAATAACATTTTGATGAGCGAAGGCATAATTTGTGCCGTCGATATTCACCGACAAGCTATGAAGTTGGTATACACGCCCACAATATATAGTAGAGTATGTTTATTATTATTATTCCATAAATAACATATTACTGTTTTTGAAGATTGTCCAAACATTTGTTGTCTATATTCGAAGTAATGCTGTTTTATTTAATAATATTTGGCGTGGCTTGCTTAACCCTAAATCTGTTTCAAGTAAGTTTTCTGTTTCATATTGTAATATGTGAAAATTCGTGTAAATGCTGCTCCAAAATTATGTGTATTAACATCACTGGGCAATAAGTACATAAGCCAATAATGCCAAACTTATAAATCCTAAATAATAATTATTATATACACTGTAAAAAATACTCAGAGTGGACACAACTAAATCTGAGGGTTGCGCGATTTGCGTTAAGTGAAGTATAATCAAGTCAAGAAGAATGAAAACCTAATTAGTTAAATAACTTCACTAATTAGACGAATAACTTCACGTAGTAAAATGTACTGAAAAATTTAGTCAAAGTATATTAGTTAAACAAACAAATTAAAAATACGAACTTACCACCTTATTTTCTGAATGCTAAAATAATAAGAAAAGATGTGATTTCATTTTTTTGTATTTCTCTGGTTAGCAATGTATTTACGTCGTATCTTTTGTAGTTATATCTTAAGAGGACGTTCTCCTACGTAAAAATTTCACCACAGTGATGTCTTCATCCATTGGAAAAGTACAAACCAGGATGCGCACAATTACCCGCTGCGCACAGTTCCCAACTTTCCCCTAGTCAAACGGTCAAACCATTAATCATTTTCATGCACTTCTTGCCAAATTATGGCGATAAACATTTTTTTAGAGTGAAGTAGAAAGTTTTAATGATTAATCAAATTATTTTACAAAGTAACGGGATCAAATAAATTTAATGAATTGTTCTATTAAATAAATTATTAAATTTACTTCACTCGAAAAAACAAAGTAGAAATCACCTCAAAATTGTTACTACAATTTATTGAGATCTCGTTACTTTGTAGAACAGTTCAGTCAAATATTAAAATCAGTCTGTTCTATTGCAGATTTATTTCATCATGTTCATAAAGTATTTTTACTGACAATACAAATATGTTCGTTTATCACCAATAATAGTTTAGTCAATTTTACAAATATTTTATCAAAATGAATTCAATGTTTATTTAACACAAGGAAGATACTAAAGGAAGTTAAAATTTTTCTTGACACACCCTGATAGTTAGTTCGCCATATTTAACTCTGAGATTGAGTTGGTTTACGTCAATTCGAGTTGAATTTCCTGATTTTTTACAGTGTAAATAATATAAAAAGTAACGAATGTAATATAACGTGAGAATAAAAATAACGAAGAGCTAGGGTATTAGAAAATTCAGTAATGTTGAAGATATATAACATAAATTTACTAATACTTTTTGAACCTAACAAACGGTATAGCTGATCTACATATATGTTCTTTATACGCTCTTTAAATTTATATTCTAAGAATATAGTCCTTTATTCATTTTGGTTAATATATACTATACTGGAAAGCATTTTTTCTATGCTACATAAATTTTTCACTATTCTTAGACTGATAGTAAAAAAAATTTATGTACCTACATATTCAGAAGATTTATAATCTCCTTTTTTGTATCTTAGATATTTGAGATTGCTTCATCTGAAAATACTGCCAGCGAATTTTGTTTGCCGTTGTTATATGTGATTATCAGTATTATATATATGTTTTTTTCCAACTATAACGGACAGAATATAACAGATCACAATAATTACGTACTCTCTATTGCGTAAGAAACATTTCATGAAACGAATATTTGTACAGAAAGAACGATTTTGTTGAAATTCAGATGGCCAAATGCAGTGAGTTTGTAGTCATGTTGTCGATAATTGTTAAAGCAATTAATTTCGACAAGCTCGGGACAAGGTGATCGAGACAGAATTATGTTTATCGCGGACTCACTTTAATTCAAATTCGATGGCAGCATCAATTTGCTACTCATAAAAGAGACAATTTGTGATAGAGTAACTTTACAATACTGGTGTCGTTAATTTATCATTTGTAATTAGTAGCAAAAATGTTCTTTCTGTGTCTTAAAAATAATTTCATCAGATGTAAAAATTAATGTAGTTACAGAATAAATTAACATAGCTAAAAATATCTGATAGAAAGTTTCTTTTGTCAATTAGCAATTCGTTATTTACAATATGTACAATTTTATAGGTACAACGTTCCGTGGTATAGAGCTCCGTTACATATACAAAGAATGATATTGTTTCTGTTACAAAGAAAGGCTAAGGCGTTTACTTTGAATATCGGTGGACTAATTACTGGATCTATGGAGTGTTTTGCCACGGTAATATAACACGAACAATAAATATCTACTTTATTACAAATGAATATTGTAAAAAGAGGTGTCTTTAATTGCAGTTAATCAAGACTTCGGTATCTTATTTTACTGTCATATATTCCACGCGGTGACAAAATAAATATGAATTTAATAATAGAACGATAAAAATATAGTCTTTATCTTTTTCCAATTTGAGGTATTAGAAAAAGATAAACAGTAGGTTAAACCGAGATTATAATTAATCTTACATTGGTGATACCGGATCAAAAACGTCTGTAAACATAGTTCGAGTAAAAATGTACATATCGTACAAATTTAAACAACAGATTCAATTAATTTATTGTAGAATCTATTATAATAATATGTAATAGATAATGTTAATAATATTCTAACAATATTCTACAAAATATAAAGCATTATGTTGGAAAATGTTATTGGTTCAATTACCATGTTTTAAATTATAAATGTATTAATTACGGTCGATGCCGAAGAAAAAGTATGGCCGATATTCATCTCAAAAGATCAAACGTGTCATGTGAGAGTTTATACAGAAATGAAGTTATCATCAAAGAAGGATATGCGCTTGCGTGACTTCTGCCCTTTGATAAATATCTTTCTTTTTTTTTATTAAAAGAAGATATTCATTCGAAATTATCCTAATGTCGGAGTGATGCCTTATAATAGGCATTGCGAAAAGCATTACTAAAATATGAATGAGTTTGTGTTCTCACAATCGATATTTTGCATATCCTTATATTATACAAATTATGGCATTTATACTAAAAATTTGTACTGTAAGAGAGAGTACCTAGGTAATCGATGGAAAAAGAGAAGGGATAATCGGGTATGAGTCGTACTTCGTAACTAGTCGCATCCCGGACATCGCAGAGGATGATTCAGACAGAGATTCAGTATTTTAACCTCAACAGAATTCTGTTGCTCGTTATTGGCTTGTGGCCCTATCAGCAATCTAAATTGACACGATTTCAGTTTGTTTTCTTTTCTACTATTCTGACAGCGGGTATTATATTTCAGGTAAGAACAGAGTATAATAGCAATAGTGTGTGATAAGTTACCATTTTGCAAATCTTCATTATCAAATAGTTTATCTCATTATTATGTTATAGAAGTTGTACATAAATATGTTATATAAATATGTTATGTATAATATAAGTATTTTATATAAATTTATAATTGTTAATAAGCATGTAAGTAAAAAATAAAATTACTATTGGTAGTTGACAACGCTAATAACATCAGAATGTACTTTAAATCTCGTCAGCAAGGTCCTGTCTTCCACATTTTTAGTTATTTTTTACATTATAAATTACGGCTCATTCTATATTAACATCAAAACTGTAAGTTAACAACTTACAGAATATATGTACGTTTGATATAATAACCTGCATTCGTGTGAAATGAAGTTTTGTATATTATATGTTAATTTTATGCACTACTCAACAAAAAATAGGGAACACTTTCGAATACGCTCAAAATTGCGCAATATTCAGAACACCATAACTCGGTGAAAAATTGTCGCAGAAAATAAATCGAAAAAGCGTTTTAAAGCGTGAAATCTCAACTTTTCAAATCGGTAATCGATATTTCAATTTGATCGATCCTTCATGGAGCTATGCGGATACAAAGATTGATCAAATTTTACAAAGGTCTGTGGCGTATACTAAAAATTGTACAATAATGCGGTTTACAGCATTCGAAAGAGTGAATCTTTACCTTCTATTTGTTTTTTTATTGATCGTTCTACCATTTTTTTTTCACCGAGTTATTGAACGTTGAAATAAAAATGTCATTTTTGCTTCAATGTTCAATAACTCGGTGAAAAAAAATCGTAGAACGATCAATAAAAAAACAAATAGAAGGTAAAGATTCACTCTTTCGAATGCTGTGAACCGCATTATTGTGCAATTTTTAGTATACGCCACAGACCTTTGTAAAATTTGATCAAAATTTTCAAATTTGACGGGTATCCATTTGTATCCGCGTAACTCCATGAAGGATCGATCAAATTGAAATATCGATTACCGATTTGAAAAGCAGAGATTTCATGCTTTAAAATGCTTTTTCGATTTATTTTCTGCGACGATTTTTCACCGAGTTATGGTGTTCTGAATATTGAGTAATTTTGTGCGTGTTCGAAAGTGTTCCCTATTTTTTGTTGAGTAGTGTATATTAAAAAATTTAATATATACAAAAACTGTTATATAATATTACATGTAAAAACAATAGGTATATGAAATTATTGGAATTACAGGTAAAGGATTTAGTAATGCAACTCGAGCAGATATGTAATCAAATAAAAGATAAAAACGAAATTGCTATCATAGAAGAATATGATTATATTGCAAGACGGCACACAATTATACTCATAAGTAAAAAAATATTCTCAGATCTTTGCTTACAATTATTATGTAACTTGTGATTAATATTTTTACATATTGTTATGTATGATATATCGCCCAGATTCTATTAAAGTATTTGCTATATATATGCATTTAAAATGGTTAATAACATGTTAGTATGCAATTTGTGCAAGAACATATTGTACAAATTGCATAAATAATATATAGAGTAATTCTAAATAGAAATTAAATTTATTAACGAAGTAATATACAACTCTATAATTTATGTATGTGCACGGGTGCGTGCGCTAAATAGTTTAAATTTTGATAAGCTTATATTGCACAATCTTTAATAAAAATGTTTTTTAATATTTTTTAGTGTTTACCATTATTAATGGATTTATTTTTATTATCGGCCAGTATTTGTCGAATAGTCTCATTATTTTACCAAAAAATATATCTCGTCTACCAATTATGATGGAGTATTTTATCGATCAAGAAAAATACTTTTATTTAATTTTGTTGCACATCTACGCAATTATGTGTGTCGGAGGAACTACGATAACAGCA